TCTCATTTGATTTGGTTTTATGCTGGCTGCCAGCCTATCTCACCACGTATTTCTGCTATTAGGTGAAATTTATATGTTTACACATAAAGTGATCTAGAATTTAAAGATTTTTTTTAAAAAACCAAAACACTATCCTTTTTTTCCTGTCTTCCTGGTCTTTAAACAGCTCACAGATCAATATTTTTTTTTAAAAAAAATGCCTAAGTAAAATCAATAAACGGTACTTAGTCAAATTAGGCCAGGAGAAGGAACCAAAAGTATGCAAGTTGTTCTCACGTTTACAAAATTCATCGAATAGACAAAAAAAAAAAAAAAAAAACATCCCCACCTTTAAAACAGAAAATAGTTTTAAACTTTCCTGAAAGTTTTCAGTTTAAACCAACATATCATGGTTCCGACAGATGAAGCTCTTCAATGAACTTTGAGGCATTGTTTACCTTAAACAAACTTTATTTGAGAAGCATAACTTCAGCACTAACACAGTCGAAGCCAAAAACTGAATTCCCCACCCTTGAGCACATAGTATCAAAGCACAATTCCCTCCTCCAATTAACCATCATAAATCACATTTTCCAATTAGTTTGAAGCACAGGCTTTCCCTCCAGTTCTCCAGCCCGTCAATTCTTACCATCTCCTATTTCAATAACCTTGGTTCACACACTAGGTCCAGTATTGTTATGTCTAGCTAAACTTTCGTGTATATTCCTCCCCCCAGCATCATCTAACTCTAACTCTAAAAGTAAAACATAAAAAGAAAATGGTTGCATCTCTAACTGTTGTCAAAGCAAAAACATCCGATGTGAGCAGCGTTGACACAACAGAGTATATATGGTTAGGAGGATTGTTCTGATAGGAGGGTAAAACCACAAAATCTATTTATTTTCTCCATGATCTGCTTCACATATAATTCTTAAATGGAAACTACAGGTTACTAACAAGAGAGACTGGATTCACATATCACACAAACTAAAATGAAACCACATTACCTATGGCTTAGCTTTAATTTGTGAAACCAGATGCTAAAAGCTGAATTCCATAATATATAATTATCACTGATTATAGATTAAGGACTTCCTGTTCTGAAATACATATGACTCTTTATATGTTCCTATACAGTGTATGAAATATATATGAATATATATAATAAATAACTGCAAAACATTATACAATACTAACCCTACATACATTGACTTTTTAAAACCACCAAGTCAAAAACTGTATCACTATTCCATTTATAATTTAGGAATTTATGAGCCTTCTTCAAAACCACTGCAGTAAGACTCTGTGGCACATTGCCCATCACAACTAGACAACCACATTTTGAAGTAGTTGAAGCAGAAGCAGGATATACTGTGACTCCCTTTGGTATTCCATGGAGAGCTGCAGAAAGTACATACAGCATTAAAAACTAATAAAACGGATTCCTTCCGCTTCCAGTCCACAAGTAAGCACTTAATTATTAAAAGAAACTGATTTACATTGAGAAGCGGTCCCTCCGCCCCAGTCAAGCCACCAAATCCATCTCTTTTCTTAAGTAGGCTAAAAAGAGAGAGAAAGAGAGATTCCTTAAATCCAAATCCAGTATCTGAATTACAGGATATCTAAAGGTTCTTTTCCGTAAACAAGCCATCAGTGTAATAATCCAAATCACAGAATCACAGAAGATCTTTGCCTCTGAAGATGTCCACCATGGATACTGGTGAAGCATCAAGAAAGCTGCTGTTTAGACCAGGGGTAGGCAATCTTGGCTCTTTTTGACTCGTGGACTTCAACTCCCAGAATTCCTGAGCCAGCATGACTCAGCTTGGAAACTCTCCCTTTCCCCTCAGCATGGCTGGCTCAGGAATTCTGGGAGTTGAAGTCCACAAGTCATAAAAGAGTCAAGGTTACCTATCTCTGGCCTAGGCCTAGGCCCCTTCATCACTCGTGGACTTCAGCTCCCAGAATTCCTGAGCCAGCATGGCTCAGCTTTGAAACCTCTCCCTTCCCCTCAGCATGGCTGGCTCAGGCATTCTGGAAGTCCATGCGTCATAAAAGAGCCAAGGTTGCCTACCCCTGGTCTAGACGAGTCACTAAATCCTGAAACTCAAACACTGCCCAACAGTACAGGTGGTCCTCGACTTACGACCGCAATTGAGCCCAAAATTTCTGTTGCTAAACGAAACATTCATTAAGTGAATTGCAACCCCATTGTGCGACCTTTCTTGCCACAGTTGTTAAGTGAATCACTGTTGTTAAGTGAGTCCTAGTGGACATTCGCTTAAATAGGAGCCAGCTGCAGCTGCCAAAAAAGCCAACACAGTGCTAGGCTGCATTAACAGAGGGATAGAATCAAGATCACATGAAGCGTTAATACCACTTTACAAGGCCTTGGTAAAGCCACACTTGGAATACGGCATCCAATTTGGGTCACCAAGATTTAAAAAAGATGTTGAGACTCTAGAAAGAGGGCAGAGAAGAGCAACAAAGATGATTAGGGGACTGGAGGCTAAAACATATAAGGAACGGTTGCTGGAATTGGGGATGTCTAGTTTAACGAAGAGAAGGACGAGGGGGGACATGATAGCAGTGTTCCAATATCTCAGGGGCTGCCCCAAAGAAGAGGGAGTCAAGCTATGAATGGTTGTATATCAAGGATTATTTGTACTTACTTAAACTATACATTCTCAGTCCTCAACTAGGTTAAGGACACTGAAACAATCTATCTTCCTAATGGGGTGTTCATCAGACGTACCATATTTTCTTGAGCTTTCCTAATGTCTTTCTAAGATTATAAACCTAATCTAGGGGCTACTGAAAGGCAATGTCAGCGAATCAACATTTGTAATGATGATTAAAAATTAAGTAAAATTAACTAACTGAAATTAGGAATAATATTTCCTCTATTTCAACAGAGCATTCTAATTCACATTCTTCGTTGGAAATTGAAGAGCTCCAGTCGTTTCAAAGAAACAAAATCATAACTCGGTTAAATATATTATGTGGAAGCACTTAATGCATTATGCATATCATTCATGAGCGTTAAGTGCTTTGGTTTCTTTTCTTCCTTTCATAGTTGTGCTAAGCAAGAGTTCTATTACACTCAGATTTTCATATTTTTTTTAATCTGGTGCAGAATAGAAAAAAAGGAAATGAGGTTCTCAAGGTCCTGTCCCAGGGCCTGGAGGCTACAGTATAATGGGTTTGGATAGGGAGGGACCACCTCCAGCAGATTCCTACCAAGATCTAGTGCAACGGTCCTCAAACTTGGCAACTTTAAAACTTGTGGACTTCAACTCCCAGAATTCCTCAGCCAGCCAGGGCTGGCTGAGGAATTCTGGGAGTTGAAGTCCACAAATCTTAAAGTTGCCAAGTTTGAAGACCCCTGATCTAGTGGGTGTTTCAACCCTCTAGATCAGGGATGTCAAACTCAATTTCATTGAGGGCTGCATCAGCATTGCGGTTGCCCTGAGGGGGGGGGGGTGGCCAGGGTGGGTGTGGCCTACTAGTGGGCGTGGATGGGGTGGGTGTGGCCTACTGGGTGGGCATGGCCAGCTCTACATCGTTCGCGTCAAGGGTGTCTGTGGGGGCCTGGGCAGGAGTGGGACAGATCTGAGGGTCTCTGGCAGAAGGGGGTGGGACCGGGGCAGAGCCCATCAAGCTGGATATGTGAAGCAGGCAAGGGCCATTTGCTGGCCACTTCCAGGCGATGGTGCATTTCTTCATTCCTCACAAAGGGTGACCCCTCTCCAGCAGGGGGTGGGGTGAAGCGGCAGGGGCTGATTCCTCACTGTTTCTGGACGGCCTTGTGGAGCTAAGACTGAATGCATTTCAGCATAGATGGCCACCACAAAATTGTACATTGGCTCCCGGCCAGCCTGGGCCAGGGCCAAGGCAGCGGGGGCCGTTCCCTCACTGTTTCCAGGATGGCTTCGCGGGCCACATGAAACCACTTTGCGGGCTGCATTTGGCCCCTGGGCCTTGTGTTTGACATGTCTGCTCTAGATTCTATCTTTGACCTTGGATGGGGTTGCACTTCCCCCTTCAGATTGTTCACAATTGGAGGCCTTAAAGAGCAAGTGGCTAGGTGGCTAGGAAGGCCTTTGCTCAATTTTATCTGGTGCATCCGTTGTGTCCTTTCCTAGATCAGAGGGCCTTCAGCCAGTCACTCATGTCCTAGTCCAGGGGTCTTCAAACTTGGCCCTTTTACGACTTGTGGACTTCAACTCCCAGAATTCCTCAGCGAGGCACGCGTGCCTGGCTGAGGAATTCTAGGAGTTGAAGTCTACAAGTCGTAAAAGGGCCAAGTTTGAAGACCCTGTCCTAGTCACCTAACAGCTTGACTCCTACAATGTGATTTAAATGGGGGCTGCCCTTGAAGACCACTTGGAAGCCTTCAGCTGGTTGAGAATGTGGCACTGCAAGCAGTAATAAGCTTCATCAGCTGCACTGGTTGCAATTTGGTTCCAGGTGCAACTGAAGGTGCTGGTTGATACCTATAAAGCCCTACATTCCACAGGGCCATGTGAATTGAGAGGCTACCCATCTCCCATAACATCCACTTGGCTGATTTAATCCTGCAGAGTTGGCGAGCTTCTTGGATGAAACAATGTCATCTAGCAGGTCTGTAATAGCAGTGCACACTAGATTAGATAACCTTTATTGTCATTTTTTTTCCACATTAAAAATGAAATTTAGTTGCTTCCTCTCAAAAGCGTACACGTACATAACACTAAAAATCTGACAAGTCAGCTCCACTCACCAGACACAAAATAATTTCAAGTACGTTTCCATGCGATCTAAAAGATGGCTTAACTCTTTTTCAGAAAACCAAAATGCTGAATGAAATCTGAAAAAATACACACTACAGAGTGCAATTAAAATCCTTATTTGACAAACCTTACTGTTCTTGTCATAAGCTGGCAAATGCAAGTGCAATATAAACACTGGTTAAAAATAAGTACGCTAAGCCTTAGCAGACGAAACAATAAGGAATGCGTAAAGCTGCATTAACAACTTACCTGTGTAACTAGTGGCTCCAATAATCTCTCCACAGTAAGAGTCCTGATTTCCAAACTTTTGGGATCCCATTTTAAAATGATGGGTGAAGTTGCAGAAGTCATGCTCTCTAGAACAAAAAAAAAAAAAGAGAGAACGAATGTTATAAATCGTGCCCGGAGTCCATGTTTGTATCTGGATTTTAAATAAGATGCTGGATTGATTTAAAAGAGCTACATTCACAATGAACAGGCACTACATCCACACTGAGAGAAGTAACCAGCTGGGTACCACAAGGCTCCATCTTACGCCCAGTACTCTTCAATATCTTCATCAATGACTTAGATGAGGGAATTGAAGGGGAAGTCCTCAAATTTGCACATGACACTAAACTGGCAGGAGAAGCCAACACCCCAGAAGACAAACTCTGGATCCAAAAAGATCTTGACAAACTTGAACAATGGGCCCTATGATCCAACAAAATGAGTTTCAATGGGGAGAAAAGCAAAGTTTGACATTTAGGCAGGAAGAATCAAAGGAACAAGTGCAGATTGGGCGAGACCCGGCTCATAAACAGCAACTGTGAGAGGGACCTTGGAGTCCTAGTGGACGATCCCTTGACCATGAGCCAGCAGTGTGCAGCAGCAGCCAAAAAAACTAATACAGTCCTGGGTTGTATAAACAGAGGCATAGAATCAAGATCATGCGAGGTATTAGTGCCGCTTTATAAAACCCTAGTGAGACCGCACCTGGAATACTGCAGCCAATTTTGGTCACCATACCACAAAAAAGATGTTGAGAGTTTGGAAAAAATTCAGAGAAGAGCAACTAAGATGATCAAAGGCCTGGAGACTAAAACATAGGAAGAACAGCTGAGGGATTTGGGTTTGGCTAATCTAAAGAAAACAAGAAATAGGGGAGACATGATAGCAGTCTTCCAGTATGTGAGGGGCTGCCACAAGGAAGAGGGGGTCACATTATTCTCCAAAGCACCAGAGGGCAGGACGAGAAACAATGGTTGGAAACTGACCAAAGAGAGAAGCAACCTGGAATTAAGGAGAAACTTCCTAACAGGGAGGACAATCAACCAGTGGAACAGCTTGCCTCCAGAAATCGTGGGGGCTCCATCACTGGAGATTTTTAAGAAGAGGCTAGACCAGTGGTTCTCAACCTTTTTAATGCAGCGATCCCAACCAGTCGTAAGTTGAGGACTACTCAACCGGTCGTAAGTCGAGGACTACTCAACTGGTGCAGCACCGTTTGCAGAATGGGACTTTTGGCGGGCTCAGCAGGGCAGAGACAGCCTGGACAATTCCTATTGGCTTTTGAAAACCAATAGAATTAGACTCTATTCAAGAGAGTCTATTCTATTGGCTTTCAAAAGCCAATAGAATAAAAGAGAGTAGCACAGCTAAGGAAAAGGGGGAAAAAATGGTGGACTGCGTTGTTTGGTGACCCCCGTGAAATGGTCGTTCGACCCCAAATGGGGTCCCAACCCACAGGTTGAGAACCACTGGGCTAGACAGTCATTTGAGCAGGGGGCTGGACTAGAAGACCTCCAAGGTCTCTTCCAGCTCTATTCTATTCAAAATAGCTAAGTATTTGTATATTAGGGGAAATGTATAGGAGTTCCAATGGATATGCATTAACTAGATTTTTTTTTCCCCTCTTACGTTTCTTTTCTATTGGCTTCTGCATGGGAAACTTGAAAACAAGCTTTATTAATGTTTTAAAAAATCTTTTCCATGCACATCTTACTGAACTTTCATAAGCACAATACACCATTGTTTTCTGCTGAAAGACACGTCTGCAATGGTGTACTGAGAAACAGCCTAAAATTGGGAGAAAAATGAATCTAATATATGAGCTCTTGGCTGACCTATGTCAATTGGGTTAGTTCACAGCCAGCGCCTTCAATGGCTTGTCACTGCTTGTCTGTGCAGATGGGTGCATGGTCAGCAAAAAAACTTCCACATCCCTGCAGATAGTCAGGGAGGAGGCAGGGAGGCCAAACCACAGCCACATGAGTCTACTTCCAAAGGATGTAGCTCAATGGTTCTCAACCGTTCTAATGCCGCGACCCCATAATACAGTTCCCCATGTTGTGGTGACCCCCAACCACTTATACATCACCGGGTGCCAGGGGCATGGCCAAAGAAAAGGGGGGAAAATGGCGGACAGCCTTGTTTGGCGACCCCCGTGAAATGGTCGTTCGACCCCAAATGGGGTCCCGACCCACAGGTTGAGAACCACTGATGTAGCTGCTTTAATGGTTCAAGGGCTGCTTCATTTGTACCAGCATCCTAGTAGGAGATGAATGAGCCTGAGGGAGGGCTCTAGTGGGTCATCAGGGATCGGTCTCGAGTTCCTTCATACCCACAAGAAATCTGAAGTCCAGCCCACCTTGAATTCCTTCGACTTTTAGCTACCACCAATTTGCTTGGATCGTTAGTAGTTCAGATTCTTGTAGAGAAAGAATAAGCTTGCAATAAACCTGCATTCATTCGAAGCGCCTTGGTTCCTGATTTCGTGCGCTTGATAATCCTTTACCAAAACCCTGCAAACTCTTCCTTGTCGGACTGTGCCTTTTCTCTACAGGAAAGGACTGCGTTTGCACAATGTGAAAATGGGCACAACGAAGACCTCGTCACTCTAAACACAAAGAAGCTACCGTTTTCAGCAGAAGAGTTTTCAAGCCTTTCCTTGCACATTCTCTTCCCATTCAAATCACTCAAGTCTTGCTGGCCCTTCCCTTGCCTCAGAATCCACTGGAATTTACTGCAGCATAATAGCATTTTTTTCTTCTCTCAAGGCCCTGCTGCTCAATTCAAATTTTAGCTAATTACTGTCCAGAGAGCATCCTAAAACTGTTAAGGAGAATCATTTAGAAAAAATTAAAAGCTCTTCTTTTGTCACACTGTTCACATCATCATGGTCTTCTCTCCCTCTCTCTCTCCCCATACACACACACACACACACACACACACACACACACACACACACACCTCATATCTATCTATCTATCTATCTATCTATCTATCTATCTATCTATCTATCTATCTATCTCTATCCTGTCTATCCTTCTGTCTATCTATATCTATATCTATCTATCTATCATCTATCATCTATCATCTATCATGTAACTGTGTCTATCTGTCATCTGTCTATCTATCATCTATCTATCTATCTCTAATCTATCTATATCTATCATCTGTCTGTCTATCTATCTATCTATCTATCTATCTATCTATCATCTATCATCTGTCTGTCTGTCTATCATTCATCCATCCATCCATTCATATCTATCAATCATCTGTCCATCTATCATCTATCTATCATCTATCTCTGTCTATCTATATCTATCTGTCATCTATCATCTATCTATCATCTGTCTATCTATATATCTATATAGTTAATAACACTAAAATATATATAATATATATAATATAAAAATATATATATAAAATATATCTATATCTATCTATCTATCTATCTATCTATCTATCTATCTATCTATCTATCTATCTATCTATCTATCTATCTATCTATCTATTCTGAGCAGCCAGGAAGTGATACCTCTTGGGCCTCCCATATCAAAAAGAAAATAAATATATGTGCTTTGGTTCTATTTTCTTCTTTTTTTCTTCTGAAATCACTCTAAATCTATTGATTCACCCCTCCCTGACAATTCAGTCATTGCCCCCAAACTGCGTCGTAGTACATAAAAGTTCTTCCTTACAACCTTATTCCTTGCCTCAATAACTAATAATATGTATCTTCTCCTTGATCATCACTCTACACTGAGGGTCCCCAACCCCTGGTCCGTGAACTAGCACCGGGCCGCGGCATTGCCAAAACCTGGGCTGTACAAACAAGCCCTATCCATGGGATGCAGGCAGCATGCGAAGCCACACATACACCTCCGGTCTGTGGAAAAACCTTTCTCCATGGAACTAGTCCCTGGTGCACAAAAGGTTGGGGGTGTTGCTGTTCTATACTACTAACAGAGCAGCGTGCAAGGACTGTGCGTGATGCTGGGCACACCCAGAACATTTTCCTTCTATAAAACATTCAATCAAAGCATGCTGCATTTTCCATTTTCTCCACTGTTAGGTAGCCCGGTACTCACCAAACGTGAGCACTAACACTACCTTTATGAGTAAGGTTACAGTGAAAGAATCTTGCAACTCGCAAACCATTTCTCCCCTCTTCTACTTCTACTTCCCAGAAAATGAGAGACAGTCCCTTCCGAGATGCTTTTTGCAGCTGTTTGGCGTCACTGAGCCAAGATGCCTTTGACATTTGCACGACAATTGTACAAGGCAGCTGCCTCCAACCTGTCCAGCCTTGCAGACCGGTGGGGGGGGGAGGGAGAGGGGACGGTTCTGCACGCACGGCGTGTGCCCACCCCTTGCGCAAATGGAACCGCGCGCACGTACACCCTCGCCCGCCTGTTGTGTGCACAAGTGGAGCTACGCACATGCACGTGCTCACCCGCCGCTTCTGTGGCCCGATTCTGAACGGATCGTGGACCGGTAGCGGGCCACAGCCCGTGGGGTTGGGGACTCCTGCTATAAGAGGCCAGTTCAGTTAAGGCACCAGGCTACAAACCCAAAGTCTGTGAGTTCTAATAATAATACTAATAAACTTGGAAGGGACCTTGGACGTCATCTAGTCTAACCCCCTGCTCAGGCAGGAAATCCTATACCATTTGAGACTTCCAGTGTTGGAGCATTCACCGCTTCTGGAGGCAGGTTGTTCCGCTGGTTAAGTCCCCTGGTTCTAGGCCTGCTTTTTGCATGAAAGCCCTCTAAAATGACTCGTCTCATTTTAGGCATAAGAAGTGGCTGGGTGACCTTGGGCCAGTCACTCTCTATCACTCAACCCACCTAACAGAGTTGTTGTTATGGGGAAAACAGGAGGATAAAGGTGTGTGGGATGTGTTCGCCATCTTGGGTTGTTTGCGAAAAATAACAAAAGCGATATACAAATAAATAAATAATCCATCAATCTATGACTCCTTCTCCTTGTCTGACAAGATTGTTTCCACACACCATTGCATCAATCTTCTCCTCTCCACCAGGTGTATCAGGTGCACAGGATACACCAGGTGTATCCTGTGCACCTGCA